CAGCCCAGGACAGTAGCTACGACAGTATTACATTGCCTTAGAGCTGCTGGCTCCTGGGGGGCCAAACCCTGTTTTGGCCTGTTCATTACATGAATCTGGAAGAAGCTGCTAACAACGGTTTGCTTCAGGTTCCCTCTTCAATTGCAAGTGAAAGTTTCTTCTTCTAAAACCTCTTACTACTAATTATGCCCTCTCAAGTTATTGATAGTGAATTTAGAAAGGCTAAAAAAGTCTGTGATTAATGGGAAGAGAAGTCAAGAAAAAGAAGGCCTGGGAATCAGGATACTTTTTTTTCCCCCCTCACTGCACCGGTGATTTCCTTTGGGCACATCACCAAGTGCAAATTTGTGGAGACTGTGCATTAAATCAGGAAAACAAGGACTCTGAGAGGCAGGGATGCTTAGTATCCCTGAAAAATGGGATAAAATGAGGAGAATCATATCAGGTTTGCCTTGTTTCCCTGCTCCAATAAACAAAGTGCCTCTCCCATTTATTGTGCTCACTCATAAACTCAGAGAAAAATAACGCTTCTCTCTACTGAGCTTGACTTCTTCATTTTGGCAGACATAATAATTGAGGGTTTGTGATCCTCTAAACCTTTTTTTTAACTGAAGACCAAAAGAAATCCAGCTTTTTCATATACCGTTACTTCACAGGAGAGTGTTTTCCTAGAAAATGCAAACAGAAATGGAATTTGGTGGCACAAAGGGGAAAAAGAGAAAAACTTTCACACACGAAATCTTTTTCTTCTCAGTTTCAACTGCTCAAGTAAATTACTGAGTCACTAAGTGCACAAAGAATAATGGTAAGGAAATATTCTAATTAATTTCTTTTTTTAAAAAGAATTACATCTGCTGAGCTCTCATTCAGGAATCTCTCCCTCTCATTACACAAGAGCTATGCTGTTATTCTACTGCCTAATCAGGTTAACTTAATATGTTTTTTACAAAGTGATCTTCATGACTGTGCAGCACAGCCTTCTTTCATCACAATATTAAACAATCCTTCACCTCCTCTTTTTTCCTGTATGAAATTACACAATTTCCCCCCTCCAAGCAAGAACCTTGTACTATTTGCTACTTAAAAACCCCCATGCTATATTTCCATTGAGCATGCTTCCAATTTTTGGAAAGTGAGCTACAAACATCTTTTTAAAGAGTACTATTGTGAGCAATCTTCAGATCCCTAAGCAAAATGCAAGTTGTGAGTTTACAACTCCATCAGCAAGGAAAGATTCAACTGGCATAAAACCAAAATAAATAGAAATACTGATTGACATTCCCCTTCTGCCATGATTGTGCTAAACTCAGGAAAGAAAAAACAGTTTGTACTTGATATGATGATGTCCCCAGGAATTTCTTCCAACAAAAGCCAAAACATAAGGCAAAATGCAGAAATTCCATCTATAGCAACATTTTAAAAAAGCATGCAGCTTTGGTTAGAGAGCTAACCTTTATTGGAATTTCCTGGCTTTTGCTGGTTTGCATCAACAATTGCACACAGAAAATGAAATGTTACAGATTGAAGAAAATGCAAATGTTATGGCCATTTGCCAGAATTTCTGCATTTATTTCAACAAGGTAAAAAAAAAAAAACAACAGAAAACTTTCTTTGAAAAGAACTTCTACCCTATCAAAACCATGTTGTTTGCTACATTTTTGTTAGTTTTACAGTAACCTCATCAAGCAGATAATATTTTCCCAGATAGGCAGACATAGAATTATGGAGATCAACAATCAGAATTGATCCCCATATTAAATGATCAGGTCTTCAAAAGTGCACAGCTCCCATCAGAGCTCTTACAACAGTCAGTATGAATTTCAAAAGTGTTCAGTAATAGGGAGGAATTTTCAAACCTCTCTGGGTAATTTAGACGCATTAGTCTCATTGAAAGTTAATGAGCCATGTGCTGCTCAGGCTTTTGGGTGCTTTGCAGAAAACACACGTTACGACTGGTATCCATGGTGAAAGTCGTGGGCATTTTTAAAATTTGATCGCACGTTCTTTAGGCTAAATTCTGCTCTTAGCTACAGATGTGTGGCTTCTCCTTACGGTGTATTTATCTGTCCAATGAAGCAATAGGTCCCCTTGCTCTGCTCTTTTGAAAGTCTGTCAACACAGAGCATCTGAATGCAGCTGTGCAAAGAGCTGCATATCCTGGCCTCTAGCGCCTAGGACAGTCCCAATCCTCCATGCAGCTAAGCTGTGTGAAGCCTACTGCTGACAAGTTCTGCTGCATCTTATACAGAAAGGAATAATCCACATGGCTAAGAGAGTTACTGGGCAACCATAGTCACCGCACTAGGATGTTAACTCTGGTACCTAACTGTAAACATAGAAAGAGCAAGACTCTTAAGGCTTTCCTAGTTATCTAAGCATCCCATCATTCTAGATGCTAGAAGAGTAAAAGTTGCACAGAATATTCTCCTGATTACCATAGTGTCTCTGAATTAATTTTTAAAAGATTAATAAGGAGATGCCACTTCAGGACTAATTAAGCAAAGGTTAAATAGATTACGGAACAAGGAAGTGAGCAAGCAAGACTCACGATTTACAATGCCTGTGTGACACTCGGTGTTCCCTTAGCACTGAAAAACACATTAGGATGTCAGGAGAGAATCATTCAGCTTTGCTGCCCATTAAATCTGATCTTAGAGTAACCAATTCAATCAGAATTACCTTCCAAGAGCATTATATTAAAGTTGGAGAAGAGAAAGGTATCTCTCTATTTTATATTATGAATACGGAAAATAAAATTGAGAAGCAAAACAAAGCTGCAATTAAAACCCACAACAGGTATTCCTTTCTTAAGGCTGAAAGGAATGTGAGGTCCGCTTTCATATGAATTGCTGACTGCATGCAGGTTCAGCACCACAGAAGGTTTACCAGGAGCCAGTGGCAATAAGCGTTCATAGCCTAAAGGAAAGGAAAAGAGGTTCACCCCTCATGGCAAAGGTCAGATTTCTGCAGGCTTATAGCCTGTCCATATACATGAGTATTCGTGGGACATCTTTGTCTAGTAAGGTCCCATGAGGATGACACAGGCTCCGCAGTGTCCCCTCTGCCTGGAGGATGGCCCTATAACCACCCAGATCAGTGTAGGGTCATTCGACTTGTGTCGATCTGGTTCCTGTTGCTTTTACTCTCAACCTGATGAACAATCATTGCAACCTTTGTGGGGATGTTGCTGAAGGCTGGAATTAAACAACTCTAGCATACAGAGAGATTGGACGTGTAAACAGGATATTTAACAGTTGCTGTTTTCACGGATGTGGAGAGCTATCAGATCCCTTGCTAACATACAACATGCTGTACACTTCATTTATATTTGCTTATCAGAATCACTATGTAAATGTCAGAAACCGTTATGCTAATGATTCTATTAGTATTTGTCTATTTATTCTGTAGATATCTTTTCAGAGAGTCATCATGTCCTTTGTTCAATTTTGGAACTGATGCATTGCATGCCCAAATATTTGGAATAACATATAGAAAACATCTGGATTTAATTATATTATAGTCCTCTTATGCAGACAATGGGAATTGAATTAAGGAATATTTTGAAACCCCCACAGAGATATAAAAGTATTAGCAGCTGCACGAGAACTTTACTGTTACAATGTTTGAAAATGTTTTGTTTTACAGATCAACAGTCTGACACATCATAAATATCAATCATAACATTTAAGATATATAAACAGAGGAGAAAAATTAAAACTTACATTTCAAAAACATGTAGATGAATTCACAGCATTTAGAAGATGCAGAGTGTACTCTTTTGTTTAAAAAATGAAAATGTATATTCTATTAGCATAGAAAATATATGTTGTACAGTGGTACTAAGCAGAGAACCACATAAGGGCTTACTGTGACTGAATAGCCTGAACAAGATTTTATAGAATCTTGTTATATTGCCACCATATTGTACAAAGAGTAATTCAGCTAGAATAAATTAGCATTTCGCTTTTCATGCTTTCATTCCTTTGAAAATATTTGGGGATATAATATGAGCTTAGAGAGCCTGCCCCAAAGTATTAGATACAGACTGGATTTTCTTTCTGAATGTACGCTGGTTCCAAATGGCACTTCTTTTCAAGTCAGTACCAGTTTTGCAGTTAGTTTTCAATCTCCCAGTGGCTAAATCACATTCAAAGGCTGTTAGCACAGTAGGGGGTCAGACTTTCTCTCTGAATGTAACTATATCACTCAACAGCAGACTCATGCAATAAGCGATCTAATGTTTTTGTTTCTTTTTTTTCCCCCTCCTCTTAGTGTCTCCCTGCATTCCTGGACACCGGTCACTGCACCAAGGACCTGAGGCAACAGCCACATGGACTCCACTACCATCCTTCTAGCTTTCTTTATGGTGCAGAAAAAGTGAAGTCTACAGTTCACCTGCTGTCAAGACAAAAGGTTCAGTTGCTAAATCCTCTGAAACATTCAAATGAACATTTTCTTGTATAATATTACACATTCCTATGTGTAAAAAGTGCACACAAATGTGTGTGTGTGTATGCGTGTGTATGCACATATGCACACAAACTTTGACAACCAATGACACAAAATATAATATTAATCCTATTCCTCCTCTTTCCATGAATCCCCCTCAAAATGTCCTGAATAACATTGTCTAAAGGCAGCATATCATCTGAAGACAGATACTGTATCCACCATGCAAAAGAGAGAGCACTATTAAAAGTAATATTGAGACAAAGAAAATAATGCCATAAAAGACCCGTGAAATGATGGTCTGTTTAGAAACTAAGTTTATCAGGACTGAAGCTTGCACTAGCTGTTAGAATTGGGAAACACCGACTCTTGATACCATGTGGTCAGTCCGACTTCGTAAAGACGCAGTCAGGATCTTTGAACTTACCCATAGCATCATCCTGAACAGGCTTTGTGGATTATGATATATGCCTTGCTGATGGACAGCCTGGTTAAAATAAAGGGTGGGAGAATTGCTGGGTAAGGGGCTCAAATAAACTACGCTAACTCACCCGTTTTACGAAGTGGAAAATCATCCTTGGCATCCTGCGCTCCTGGTAAAGTGTATTTGTACGGTGGCGAGGCCCCACTCAGGGGTGGAGAGCTTTGATCCAGTGAGGTATGGTGGGCAGCCCTGCAGCAGACACAGAGAGGTCACAAATTAGCAGTCACTGAGGTGACCAGCAGTAACTATCTACACATGTTGTACACATGTCTCAGCTGTGTTTATGTTCTTGTTCGCCTAAGTGTGCACAAACCACAGGCTCATGTAACCAATTTCACTTTTACAGTAAGTTATGGAACTACTCGGGATTCCCAAGAATGCGCTTTTTGCGCTCATTATAAAAGTCACATAGGATAAGAGTCATGTTGACCTACAGACAGGATCTGTCTCCAGTTTGGGGAATTGACCATTTTAGATTGTTGCATTTTTTAATATGAACCAGCTGAGGCACAGCAAAAGCCATTTAAGTCTTGTTTATCACGTACAAATAGATGTACATTGATCCAGCCTCTTCTATCAAAATGTGGGGGATTTTCAGGGCAGGGGGGCTTGTATAAAACTAACCAGAAATACTGAGTTGTTGTTATTATCTGTTGAAAAAAAATGCAAACTATTTAGTGGACAAGGTAGATAAAACCTTGCATTAAAGTTGAGTTTATAAGTTTTGTGAGCACACCGCTCTGCAGCACATAGCACTCACGTCAGCAGAGAAGCTCCAAGCTGAAGAGTGCTTTCTGACAACTGCTGGATGAAAGAAACAGTGTGGGCAGACTTTTCTGAACACGGAAACTGCAAATTGCAAAGAAATTGCATCATTTGGCCCAGAGACAGGGGTTTTTTTTGTTTGGTTGATTCTTCTGTTTAGAGGGGGAGAGAGGGAAAGGAGGGAAACTTTCAAACTTTGTGTTTATCTAAACATAATATTACTTGGCCTTTTACAGGGGCTCTCCTTATCCTTCCAATGTAGTGTGGTTAATTGACAATACGTCTCTGTCAAAAGGGGCACTACCATGAGAGGAAGTACTACTTTCCCTAGTGCAGCAGAAGACATCCTCTGCAGAGCTCTTCGTTCTCACTCATCCAAAGACTCAGAACTAAACTCGGATTATTAGTCCAGAAATCTTACACACTCAAGAGAATTCTACACATTATTTGGGAAAAAAAGTACTGTATCTCCACCAGAAAAAATCTATCTATATATGAAATCATGTTACCACAATGCTCTGGTTAGCTCAGAACAGAAACTCCATAGGCAGGCCTTCAGGAATTCTTTTTAAAAAGAACAAGTACAAAATGGAAATCTAGTGTACCATATGCATTTGTGTTTGTCCTATTGACGGCCAATTTGAGCATAACATTGAAGTCTTTCAGAAATGCAGCTAGAATTCATTTTGTTGGATTGACTTATGTGTCTGTTGTAATGAGGAAGTTAAAAAGGAATTAGTTAAAAAAAACGGGGGGGGGGTGTGCTAAAAACTGTAAAAACCATAAAAACCGTAAATTCTTAAAATGTTAATAGGCCCATTACAGGACTCAACAAAATCACTTGTTTCAATGGTGTAAGCAGATTCTTATCAAGGCCAAGGCATCATAAGAATACACAATTTTGGATACTAAAATCCATCAGAGTAAGAAAAGTTAAATGACCACTACCCTTCTCAAAATCCTTGTGAATGACTTACACCATTGAAGTAACTTCATTGGAAAGCAGCATCTCTTCAAGAAGAAACAAGTTTTGTGATTGATTCAAAATCCAAGAAAATCAAACACAAAGTTGTTCTAACTGCAAAAATTGAAGAGACTTGGAAAAATGACAGGTATAGTTGTAAAATTTGTGATAGCATCAAGAGATGAAGCAGTTGAAATAAAAAGTTTATACAAATTTCTGACAGCGTCTTGTTCTGTACAGCTCTCATCTCATCACTGAACACTGAGCACTCTTCAGTTCAACCAGAAACTTCCAGCTTTTCGCTTACTTCTTGGTTGAACTTCTGTCTTGTTCTGGAGGCAGACTATCAATACCCCTGCTGGAGAAGCATTCTGGCAAGTTTTAACAGATACCTGGATGAGGCAAGGAAACAGCTTAATGCTGAACATACGTGTACCAGAGCTTGGGGTGGCGGCTCATGGAATGATTCTTCCCATTTGCTGGAGAGTCTTTTGTTGCCGATTTACTCAACAGGAACTCTTGAAGTTTCTGCTTCACTTCTGTACTGGCCACTGCCCCTAAGACACACAGAATTAAACGTATCTTATGTTTACTTAAAAAAATTTACATTTTTAAAGAAAACAAAAACACAAAAAAGAGCCTGTGTCTTGCTGCTGGAAGTGTTGTAAACTATAAAAAATATTGGCAGAAATCAGTCAAAATGAGATAATATTTGGATTAAATGTTTGTCTGTAGAAGACTGAAGTCGGCCATAACCCAGAAATCCAGTGAAGTCATAAGGAATATTTCAACAGTAGATGAGCCCATTTATCCAGGGCCAGATGTATCTAAAGAATTTAAATTATCTGCTAATAATTCCCAAATACAAAACCAAGGATAGAACTAAAACGGTAAGTGGCAAAAGGTCACTTTGAGTTTGCAGTAAAGAATGTTTTTTCTTTTAGTAAAGTAATAGTACAGCAAAACTGCCCTCTGAACACTGGCTTGGTTATGAGCAGAATGCCGCAGAAAGAGCCAGCAGTGAGTCTTTTTATTCAAGCCACTTAAGAGCCTGTACCTGTGAGGTCTGGAGGACAGACCACAGTCTGAAACATGAGTCTTAGTTGATAACTCTACTCTTATGACATAAAAACAACAGAAAGACCAAAATGCCAGGAAGACACAGTGCATTTTGACCTCTCTTGGTGGCTAGCTCAATACAGTACATGAAGTAGGGCATGTCAATGTCAGGTTAAACTGCCAATTCCTACTTGCAGCATGGGACGTGCTACTTTACTCACAGCCATAATACTCTTAATAAAAAAGGCATGAAAAAGAAAAATCTTCTTTCATTCTTCCATAAACAGTGACAAAAAATGGAAGAAAAAACATTTCTTCAAAAGTAGCAGCACTAAGACATAGTGACACTCTATTTGGTTACCCAACCCTGACACAGCACAGCTAACTGCTGAGCATGTCCCCTTGTGACCCAGGTCCCATAAAATACTCTACTGCCCCTCAGCTTCAGACCCTAACTCCCCTCCCCGCACCTTCCTTCTACTCATTAAGTAGATCACCATCAGCAGCAAACGCTGGGGCTGGAGCCGAGGGCTCACAAGTGCTGCTTGGCTGGCTGCTACATGCTGAACAGCCACCCAGCAAGCCGAACTGAGAAGGGAGCCACTGAGTTCACATCACTGCTCTTCCTTTGGTGGGAGCACTAATAAAGCCCAACTGTTTACATGGAGGCTCATTTTTCTTGCCACTCACAGGAACCTTTTGTTCCTGCAGTTTCTGCCACCCTCCCACTGCTGGGTCAATAGGCTGGTGATGCCTTCATGGATTCATCATTCACCAAAGTACTGGAAGCACCACGGACATCTTAATTTCTAAAGCCTACAATATGGTACACCTACAACTGTTGAACTGATACATTTTTCCACCCAAGAAAAAAAGGCAGGAGCATAACGTACAGCTCTCTTCTGCTTCAGTCTTTGTCAGTTAATTCTTGTGGTCATTTAGCAGGGCAAGTAACAATATCTGCTCATGGCAGCTTCATTTTGAATACCTTCACAATGTACTTCAACCAGATTTTTAAAATGACCTCCCTAAGGAGAATTATTTGTATCTGTCTCCCTCTAGTGAGCACCAAATTCCAACAGTATCCTTTGTATCTGTCATTTGCCTTAGAGCTATATAGGAGCTAGAAGTAACTCTTGGTTGGGCCTCATGAAACGGCGTCAAGAACCAACACAAGGCAGTTTGAAAAAGTACTAGCAAAAGTATTCAGAAGCCTCAGCCAAAGATACTCTTAAATATTTCATTATATTTTCAATCTTGAAACAACGCTCAAATTAGTTAATCAGCAAGTAATTTGATTTTTTGCTGTTTTGTAGTGCTTTCTGTATTGGGAAATAAGTTCTTCAGAAAGAAGTTCTCATGTGAAGCTTTGGGCTTTCAAATTCCCTCCTTTTTTTATAAAAAAAGCTAGATTCTTGAGAGGCATATACAGAGGTCTGCCAAAACATGCTTTCCTACAGTTCTCCAAGCCTGCACACAAACTAGCAATGTGTTTCTGTGGGCGCAGCAGGTGGCTCTGCCTTTCTAGAGGCACAGCCTCGACTTTTCTAGTTGTGTATTTCACACAGTAACAGGCTTGCTTCAGGTTCCTGTTCATTGTCCATTTCTGCTGGGAGAAGGCGAAGGGGAATAGATTAATTTCTCATTAGGATTCATGGTACATTGGCTCTTACTTTCTCGGCTTCTTTCTTTGCCTCGGAGGGGAGGAAGCTGCTGTTCCCTGCGATGCCTCTCCAGTTCCTGCTCTTGTCTCTGCTGCTCCAGTTTCTGTTCTTTTTCAAGGAGTTCTTGCTGTTGTTTAATGGCTAGGAGTTCCTGTTGTAACTTGCACAGAACAAAAAGACATGAGAAAGTGCAGTTTGCACTGTTTTCTAGGTCAGTCCTGGCTAAAACAATCCCTTTGAATAACTATCTGCTTGCTTTTGTGCTTATGCTTTTCATTAAACGACTTTCCCGTCTTTTAAGTGGGATAGTGTATTACTGGCTGTCCCTAAAATGAAATCTAATGTCAGGTAGCAGCCTGCTGCTCTGGTTTCACTTCTTTCTCTTTTGGCAAAAATGCCTGGAAACGGCACAGGGTTCTTTGCCAGTGCATCACCCAACTCTGGCTGCTGTGCTCCGCTGCATTTGTCTGCTCCATCGAGCGGAAGCTGAGCACAGTAGCATAATGGCAAGTAGATCAGAAGGAAAAAATGAAAAGAAAAGCAAGATCATAAATTCCCGGTCAAAATCCATTATAGCAATCCTACCATAGTGCATGTAACCCCATAAATCATTTTCTTTTTACATTATATGAAGCAGCTCAGACAAGAGTGAAAACAACACTTTCAGGGCCTGCCTCTGTTTTACAAATGCAAATATTATGCACTTGCCTATCAATTTGATTTGTGGGCACAAACGCAAACAGTAGCCCAAAAAAGCAGTCTTTTAATATACTTAAAACTGCATACATGGAAAAGACAGCAATACTGAAGTCTGGCTGAAAATCCAGCTTTGTAAAATAGGTAGTTTGATTTTTTGTGGATATGGTGGCTTCATGAGCTTGATGGTTTTCATAGTACTGCCTTGGTCTGCTGGGAGCAACTTGCTGGTAGGTGCTAGCAGTTTTGCTTGAAAAGGCTTCTACCACCCAAATACAGAGAAATAAGCACTCAAACACCATCTCTCAGCCACAGCGAACCTTTCAGGCATGTTCCCTTTTTAGGTCTGCCTAAGCGTATTCAGTTTGCAGATAAAGCGAGGGATAAATGAAAAATGTTGCTACCTTTATGTGCTCCTGGAGCTGGGCCTGATGCTGGCGGGTCAGGTTTTCATGCTGCTTCTGAAACTCTGCAATCAGCAGTTGTTTCTGAATTTGCTGCTGCTGCTGGATCAGAAGCAGTTCCTGCTGTAGCTGCTTTTCACGCATAATTGGGTCCACCATGGGAACCATCATCCTGAGATCAGTTCGCAAGTCTAATGGCGAGATAGGCTCTAATCCCACGGGAACCTCCGACTTTACATCCACTGTGGGAAGAAAACAACAAAACATATCTATATTAAATATATATATTTGGATATATATCCTTCCTGGAGAAGGAGAATAGAGATCATTCCTACTGGGGAAGAGACCAATTTCACTCAAAGACTGCTTCAATGTACAGACCTACCAAAACACTACTGCAATCTACGCTGTATGCAAACTTCAGACATTTGAGTACCAACTGGAGATTTTACACATTATTTTATCACTTTCTTTCCATTCTCTGCAAAAATACTCACAGATTAATATTCTGCTAAATAGACTGACAAGCAACCTAGTTCTAAAACCATGTCACAGCCTCATGGAGCAATATTTATGAGAATCTCCTAGGCACTATTAATGCTTCACAATAAACATTCAGGGTACTTCTTCAGTGTAAGATGAAGGCCTTCCAGTTCTCACTGCATTGCAAGAGATTCTCCAAAGCTACATAGCTACTACATGCATATGTGTGGCAAACACATAGGAATAACACATATGAAATTATAGGAAAATAATTTGACACACAAACCAAGAAGTTTTAATACAGCTTTTTTAAAAATTATGACCATGCTTGGAGTGGATTAGACATAATACACTATATATGGCTTGTAAGAAAATGAAAACATCTTGAATTATTCCAATTTGTTGCAGCAATGGTATATATTGTTCATCCAGCATTAAAGTACTCAATGGAGAATCCTGTGTTTTTCTATCTCGTTATTTAAATCGAAGGGACTAAAAAGCAGCAGAAGAGAGAGATTTGACGATTTTCACTACAATACTTGTAAACCTCAGATTTTCACATTAAGTGAAGAGACAGGGTGCAACTTTATCTGTTTCAAAAGAACAAAAAACTAGCAAGTAACATTTCTACAACAGGAAAATAAATAGCTGAGGGTCTCTGCTAAAGCTCAGCAGTTCTGATTCCATCCACGAGAGGACAGTGGAACACAAACACATTCACTCCTGTTCCACTATCTTCACAGGAAAATAAGATTATTAACTGAAAACAAACATGCTGTCAGAAATGACTAGCGAACAAGATTTTAACCATATTTTCTCCTTTTGCTCTGCTACAGCTATATTTGTTTTCAAGGAGAAAAGTAAAATGAAACAAATATTCTAGAAAGCAGGAGCAGTAAAATTGAAGCAGCAAAAGTTGAAACTGCACAAATGGAGACAACTGAATTCTAACTGTACGATCAAACCTATTAGTAAAAAGTTTTATCAAAAGAAAAGATGAGGCACCAAATCTCTTCTACTGATCATATTCTTTTCTTCTCAAAATTCTGGAAACGTACAATTTTCTGTTTTTTGGGTTTTTTTAAATCCTAGTAACTGTGACTGTAAACCTCAGAGTATAATTTGCCTTCTTAACCCACTATCCCAACAGAATGATTGTGTCTAAGTGCTTACTTTTGTTCTGAGACTAATCACTAAATTATAAAAAATCACCTTTAACTTACAAAAACTACTCTTGATTATAAATAATTGCCACAGAGCAAGAGAAACGGACAGGCAAACCCCCAGCCTTTCATCCCATTTATTCAGCAGCAATCCACATTCCATTTGTCTAGACTAAATATAGCCGCGTTTATACAAGAAATCAATAGTGCTTGCAGAGAGCAGAGCAAAGACATGAATATTTCATCAAACTCGGAGAGAAATGGCAATCAGCAAACTGACAGCAAACCGTGTAGGCTGACTGGCCCTCCAGATAAGTCTCCGGTACTTGGACAATGGCTCATTGCCTGCAAGTCACCGTCTTATCATCAGCGCTCTGCTATTTTTAACATTAATTGCATTGTAGGTGACAAAGGCTTATCATGTTTAAAGTGCAGAGATGGATTTTCTTACATCTTCTGTGACAGGATAATAAGCCTTACTAGGAGCAATAATAGTAACCGGAGCTCGGCAAACCCTGCAGGGTCTGGTTCGCAATAGTGTTTGCAAACTGAACGCTTCAGGCTCTGGTTCACAATAGCGTTTGCAAACTGAACCCCGCAGTTTATTTGGCAGATACTGGCTACAAATCAAACCCTACAGGTCTGCATGGCGATTCAGGCTGATGATACTTCCTATCTCTGATGAGCACGCCACTTCTTCATTTTCAGAGCCCTTCTCATGAGGGGAGGCCTCCAGATTTTTCTAACAATGGAAACCTCCTTCCACTACTAGTAAAATGTACAATTGAAATCAGGCTCCGTTCGATAAGATACAAATTTTCAAGAATTTTCACACACTCAAATAATAAATCCAGCACTGGAATACCTACTTCATCAAGTTCAACTTTACCTTGTTCCTTACTGTGAGGGAAAATAAACTTTAAGGTAGTTCTAGAGACTTGAATCCATGGAAATCAATACATCATCTTTCATGCCATTTAAATGCCAATGTTTACTGACAAATAAAGACAAGCATTTATTTCCTGGCATAAATATTGCCAACAGTAAGGTTATTGCCAATACTACTAATAACTGCTGGCATAGCAAATACTAACTTTGGAGGGTAATTTCTGTCTTAAAACTGTAATAGCTAATAGTTAGTTAGATAACAGTCAACCTCATCAATGGAATTATTCTAAAGAAGTAACTATAAAATCACAAACTGTATGGTTTGCTACTGTCTGTTAGGCAGTCCGAATGCCACAGGCCATTTACATTCTCCGTACTTGTTACCAGCTGACAAGAAAGAGACAAAGCAGCCCTGTGGAGCTACATCTGTGTGAAAAATGTGTAATGGAGCAGAGAATCAGACTCAGTGTCTTTAAAATCTTTGACTTTTAGCTGAAGCATCTTCCCCCCGCCACCCCAATGTAATTTTGTCTCAAAAGAGAAAAGGTGATGTAGCATGTTTATTCTCACAGGGGCTTTTTATGTTTTTTCACCCCCTCTGCACAAGGATATATGTATTTTTCAGGTAGAAAGGTAATGTCCTAATCAGTGCCCTCAACTTACAAACACCACGAGAAGCAGTGGGATGCAGGACTTTAACAACAGGATTCATCAAGGCATTAGCCAAAGAAGGAAAGGGATGAAAAATGAAAGAAAATACTAATCAGAGCTTGATAAAGGCTAACTTCACTTTAAGGAGCGCTGTTTTGCAGGATTTCCAGTATCACCAATGGAGCAATGTTGTAGCAGGCATGATTCAGAGCGGGACCCTGCCTGCACTCTCTCCACTGCGGTCTGGAGCAGATCCTTCCCAACAGCTCTGCCGACTACAGAGCAAGGCTGGGATTCCTCTCTAAGGTTAAATAAAGACAAACTCTCTGAGCTCATGTCAGCTGCGGTGAATACAACTGTAGGCTGCAGAATATTAACTAAAAACATTACCGAAAGCTCGGTGACTCCAGGAAATATGTCAAAATTTGAGTAGAAAAATATTTAATTTTCAGCTACAGCACACTGCAAAAGGTGTATGTATTTATTTTTCCTATAAATACTTGATTGCCTTTATCTTGAAACATAACAACAAAAATAGTCTCAGAAGAGCGT